TCATGCAAAAAGGCACTTTGTATGTCTATGAGGTAGATCTGGAGGATCCTGGGAAGTACCTTTTGTATTGTGGATTTTGAGCAAGTGTGATAGTCAATGTATTTTTTATTTGTTTTAATTGTGTGTGTGTGTGTGTGTGTGTGTGTGTGTGTGTGTGTGTGTGTGTGTGTGTTTTGACACAGGGTCTCACACTATGATTTATGGCTAGCCTGGAACTAACTATGTAGATAAGGGTGGCCTTGAACTCACAGATCCGCTTGCCTTTGCCTCCCAAGTGCTGGGATTAAAAGCCAGTACCAGCAGAACCAACCATAATATTTTTTTTTATATTCTTTTGTTTTGCTTTTTAAGACAGGGTCTTGCCTTTAATCCCAACCCTGAGGAGGCAGAGGTAGACAGATTTCTTGTGAGATCAGGACCAGCCTGGTCCAAATAGTGACTTCCAGGTGGGCTAGGACGAGGAAGACCCTGTCCAAAAAAAAAACAAAAACAAAACCACAGGGTCTTATCACATAGCCCTGGCTAGCCTGGAACTCCATATGTACACTAAGCTGGCCTTAAATTTATGGAGATCTGCCTGTCTCTACCTACAGAGTGCTTGGAGCCCATAACTCCAGTTCTAGGCAATCCAACACCCTCTTCTGATCTCCAAGTGCAACGCACAGCATGGGTGTACTTAAACTCAGGCAATACATTTATACACATAAAATAATAAATAAAATTATTTTTTAATTATGCTACACCTTAACTGCTTTCTACTTGGATCAAAATTTCATACTTTTTTACCTTGAATTATATAACTGTCTTTCCATTAAAAGAAATAAGAAAGTAATTATGGGATTTTAGATTTTAGGAGTGAAATTAAAAAAAAATAAATAAATAGCTCAGTAGTAGAGCACTTGCCTAGCATGTAATTTACTAGGCCCTGGATTCAATCCCCAGTAGGGGATTCAGGGGGACAGAAAAGAAAAAGGATGTGAAATCTACAGAGATGTGAAAAGAGGAAAATAAAATCATACTGAAGTAGCCAAAAGTACTAGTCAGTTAACAATTATATATCAAGTTCAGGTGGTCACATCCAGAGACTCTATCAAGTTGCACAAATAAAAACAGACTTACTCGTTAAGTATTCAACTATTCTATATAAGACTATTAAAGAAGTTATCAAGATGCCAAGTAAGTTGATTTATCTTTAAAATATTGACAACAAGGCCCCCACTCTTTTCTCCCCTCCCTGCCCTTTTAGAACCCAGAGCCTATACATGCTAAGCACACTGCCTATCACAATGCAACATGCCCAGGCCCCTACATTCTTTAAAAACACAAATCTGAGGCAGGGCGTTGGTGGTACACGCCTTTAATCCTAGCACGCAGGAGGCAGAGGGGATGCCAAGTAAGTTGATTTATCTTTAAAATATTGACAACAAGGCCCCCACTGTTTTCTCCCTTCCCTGCCCTTTTAGAACCCAGAGCCTATACATGCTAAGCACACTGTCTACCACAATGCAACATGCCCAGGCCTCTACATTCTTTAAAAACACAAATCTGAGGCAGGGCATTGGTGGCACACGCCTTTAATCCTAGCACTCGGGAGGCAGAGGGAGGCGGATCTCGGTGAGTTCAAGGCCAGCCTGGTCTACATAGTGAGTTCCAGGACAGCTGGGGCTACAGGGAGACCCTGTCTCAAAAAAACCGAAAAAAAAAAAAAAAAAAACCCACAAATCTGGTATTTACCTGACAGAGAACCTGCCAGGCTTCCTCTCCGTAACTTACAGTCATCCTGACTAAGCTGCCGCTGGAGTTTAACTTTTCCAGTAGGTGAAAATATGTCAGGATTACTGAGCTTCCTGAAGAGCAGGGGACTAAGTCCAGTAACCACTTCCTACAATAAAAAGAAAAAAAAAAACAAAAAGAAAAAAACATGAGTCGTTCATATTGTTTCTGAAGAACTTTATATTAAACACCTCTATAACATTCATTCCAAGTAAAAGGTAACATTATTTTAAACATTTGTTTATTTATTTATCTTTATTTTTATTTATTTAATTTGGGGGAGAGCATATTTGCCACTTTGCTCACTAACCCCATCTCACTGGCCCAAAAAGTAGCTTACATTCCCCACTTAAAAGCTAAAGTCAAAAACATATTTCTTAGTTAAAGCTTAGCTGGAAACTGGAGAGATGGCTGAGTAGTTAAGAGCACTTGCTATTCCTTGCAGAGGACCCGGGTTCTACTCCTAGAACTCACATGGTAGCTCACAACCACCCAAAACTTCAGTTCTAGAGTATTTTTTTTTTAAAGAGTAGAGGATGTGAGCAAAAGGGAATTCTTACAGACTGACAGGAATGTAAAGCAGTATATAGCCACCATAAAAATCAGTATGGAGAATCTTCAAAACACTGAAATAGATCATATGACCCAGTTATATTACTCCTGAGTATTTACCTGAAAGACTTCAAGTTAACCTTCAAGTTAATTAAAGATACTTGTACATCAATGTTTATTGCAGCACTATTCACAATAGCTGCCATGTGGGTGCTAGGAATCGAATCTGGGTCCAACAGAGGAATTCTTTTAATGTGGTATACATACACAATGGATTTTTTTTTTTTACCATAAGAATAAAGTTTTGTCCTCTATAGGAAAACAGACACAAATGTAGACAATCATATTAAGCAAATTAAGCCAATCTTAAAAAGACAAATATCACATTTTCTCTTATTGTGAGTCCTAAATTTGATGTAGATATATAAAACCGTGTATGTACAGATGGAATTAAAGTAGAAGCAGAACTATCTAGCATAACAAAGGGGATGAGAGAGGAAGGCAGTGGGAAATGCAGGCAGAACAAACCCAAAATAAATACATTACACACTTGCATGAAAATGGCCTTATTATTCACCCAGTTTAATAATACAAAAAAATTAAAGAGTATAAATATACTGTGGAGAAAAATACAAACAATATGAAACTATGATAGTGTTTTTCCTTTGTCTTTTCATCTAATCCATCTCACTCCAACCCAATCTCTTTCTCCTCACTCAGTAATGTCCAACAAAACCATTAAGATGCAAACATTTTTAGCCCAACACCCACCTAATTAGCAGTAGAAAAAAAAAGAATAAAGCCAATAAGGCAAATCTTTTCTGTTTCAATGGATTCAGCTGCTATAATTTGAATGTAGTTTAGTCCATATGCTGCAAGCTTGGTCCTCAGTGCCAATGCTAAAATGCAGTGGAACCTTGAACAAGAGATAATTAGGTCCCTGGGAATACTGCTCTCCAAAGGATTACTGTAGTTCTTAAAGGACACTAATTTAGTGCCCTCACAAGTGAGCTGTTACATGGGCTGGCAAAATAGCTCAGCAGGTAAAGGCATGTGCAGCCAAGTTCCATCCCTGGGAGACTCACATGGTGGAAGGAGAGAACTCACTCCCAAAAGTTGTCCTCTGACCTACACTTAACACACACATCATGGTGTGTACCCCCACCCCATCTCAAATAAATAAATTAATTAATTAATTTAATTAATGTAAAAAAAGTAAAGATTTATTATAAAATGAGTAAGCATAAAACAGAACGAACTGCTAAAAAATGAGCAAGTCTAGCCTCTAAATCTCTCTGGTTTCCTATCTCACCAAGTAATCTTTTCCTCCTTCAAATACTCCTGCCATGAACCTAACTACCATTCTGTGACTTACATAAAAGGGACTCAGCAGAGCTGAGGAAATACTCTTAGAACTCCAAAATAATGAGCTAAATAAACCTCTCTTTTTAAAGTAATCATCAGTCTCTAGCATTTTGTTTTAGAAAGTGAAATGAAATTAATATAAAAGCTACCACAAATACAGATAAATAGAACACTAAACTAATCATGACATTACAAAGACAAAATATATAAGGAGGAAATAATTAACACATACATGACGTACTATTTGAAAAATAAGACATGGGGATGGGAGTACACCTCAGTAGTAGCCCACTTGCCTAGCATACAAGAGACCCTGAATTTAATCATCTGCCAGAGGGAGGGAAGGAGGCAAAGAGAGGGGAGGACAGGTGGGCTTAAGAAACTGTGACACACTAAACTAATCATGACATTACAAAGACAAAATATATAAGGAGGAAATAACACATACATCACGTACTATTTGAAAAATAAGACATGGGGATGGGAGTACACCTCAGTAGTAGCCCACTTGCCTAGCATACAAGAGACCCTGAGTTTAATCATCTGCCAGAGGGAGGGAAGGAGGCAAAGAGGGGGGAGGACAAGTGGGCTTAAGAAACTGGGACTACCCACATGGCAGCTAACAACTGTCCGTAACTCCAGTTCCAGGGGATCCGACAGCCTCTTCTGTCCTCCTCGGGCATTGCACAATACGGGTGTACTTACCTACATGCAGGTAATACACACAAAATAAAAATAAGTAAAATTTATATATATAAAAAAAGAAACTGGGACTACAGAAACACTAAAAACTACAAAAGAGGAGGGAAGGGGGATGGAAAGATGTGACAAGAAAAAAGAAGGGAAGGAAAGAGGAAGAAGGAGGACAGGGAGGAGTGGGAATGGACAAGGGAGGGAGGGTGAAGGGAAGGGGGAGGGAGAGGGGGAGGGAGAGGGTGATGGGAAGAAGGGGAAGGGGGAGGGAGAGGGGAAGGGCAGGGGAGGAAAGAGCAGAAAGGAAGAAAGGGAAGAAGAAAACAAAAGTGCCTGAGGTCATACTTTTTTAATATATATTTTTATTTATGTGGATGTGTCTGTGTCTGTATGGCATAAGTGTGCAGTGCCCATGGAGACCAGAAAAGGGTACTGGATCACCTGGAGCTAGAGTTACAGGTGGTTGTGAGTCAACAGACATGGGTGCTGAGCATCAAACTCTGGCCCTCTGGAAGAGCAGCAAGCTTTCTTAATCTCGGAGTCATCTCCCTAGACCCATACATTTTTACTGTTAATTATCCAGAATATTATTTAAAATTTCAAGGAAAGAAGGAACCTGAACAGAATCATCAAAGCACTGTAGTCCAGGCACATCAAAACTGTAGTTCAGGCAACTGTAGTGGGAATGAGATTAACTAGAAAAGGCACTTAAGGCAATTAAGAGAGCATCTATGCTTCAACTATTTGGGGTAAGGAGGATGGCGTACTCCCAATGACTCAAGGAGAAACCAAGGAAGGAAGGAGAGTTTGGGCACAAATGCTGGCAACCCACTAGAGCTGGTCACTCACAGAGGCAACATCCACAGCAAGCTCTAGATGGCAGGAAGTAAAGAAGTCTTGGAAGAAAGGCATAAATCTAGAGTGAACATCCCGCATAAAAGCATGTGGAAAAGAAAAAAGCCTGTCCCAAGAAAACAGTTACACTATAGGGATGACAGTCTTAGCAAAAGAAAAAAAACTTAGCACCAGTTACGAGAAACATGTTCCTTTTTTAATCTCCTTGTTTCCCACCAAAACATACCTAAGAGAACATACCAGAAAACAGAAGGGGAAAAATGAAGGGGCAGATCAGGGTCTTTCCTAGTCCTACTTGCTTTGGTAAAACTAAGCAAAAGCAAGAAAAGAAGTAGATACCAGCTCAGGGGTTAAGAGTGTATAGTTCTTGAAGAGGACTTGGGTTCAGTTCACAGAACCCACATCAGGTTACTCACAACCACCTGTAACTCCAGCTCCAAGGACTTCCATGACCACTGACCTCCACAGGCACCTGCACACATATAGTGCACATAAACTCACACAGGCACACAGATATACACATAATAAAACAAATCTTTTTTAAAAAGTAGTTATGAATGTCAAAATTTAATCTAGGATATATTTTAACTTTTCCTGGAGTATGTTATTCACTGGAGAAGTACACATGTCTAAGCACATACTTCTGTGATTTTCTTTTTTTTTATTTTTTGTCTTTTGGATACAGTCTTTCTCTGTAGCAATAGCCTGGAACTCACTATGTAGACCAGGCTGGCCTTAATCTCACAGAGATCCACTGCCTCTGCTTCTGGAGTGCTAGGATTAAAGATCTTCGCCACCACACCTGGCTCTCAGTGATCTGTACTTTACAAACTGAGCATACCGATTTAAAAGTATCAAGAGTTTTAAAAAGGGTACCAATACCCCCAGAAGATTCTTTGTGCCCCTTCTAGTCATTATTCTGCTCCCCTAGGCAATCCCCATACTTCTAACAGCATAAATAATTCCAAAAAGTACAAAAACCTTGTATGGAATTACTCAATATGGCGTCTGTGTCTTGTTTCCTTTGCTCAACTAGACTAAACTTTTGTAATTAGCAGAGCAATATTGATTTATTCAGGAATAATCAAAGATGTAAGAAGCAAGCAAGACAGAACAATGTGTATCCCTCAAGAGGGAAAATGTTAAGAGTAGAGTTTCTAATGCTCAGTCTCAATTCTCAGTTTTCCATTCCCATGTTTAGACACTTACAAGGTCTACTACATTTGAAGGTCTAGCAGACCTACAAGTTTTGTAGCTCCACAAGATACCATTGTATTCTTACAACAAACTCTTTCTTTCTGCTTAAATTAGATCAAATCAGTTTCTAACATTAAAACCACTTTAAGAGTTCATCTTACCCCAGTCAGACAGGCTAAGATCAAGAGAACAAATGATACCACATGTTGGAGAGGATGTGGGGAAAGGGGAACACTCATCCACTGCTGGTGGGGCTGCAAACTTGTTCAGTTTGAATCCCAGTACCCACATGGCAGCTAACAACCATCCATAACTCCATTTCCAGGGGATCTGACATTGTCTTCTGTCCTCTGAGGGCACTACACAACACAGGTGCACTTACATACATGTAGGCATAACACATACCTAAAATAAAAATGGATAAAATCCATAAACCAACTAAAAAAA